GGCGCATGCACCTCACTCCCCTGATGCGGGCAGCGAGCGCACGAGATACTATCTTCAGATAGTTTTCGTTCGGGTTACATCTGCGGTGTGCCGGTGCACCTTGGGTGCTCTGCAGACGTGTGGAGTGGCCGTTCGCCCTGCGGTCAGGGCCCCCCGCAATCCAGCAGAAAGGCGGCATGCGGGCGTTCGTGCACGCCGCCGCGCCCGGCATCAGGCCCCCGAGCCCCGAGCGCTTTCGCTCCGCCCCCGCCCAGGCGGCGGCCGGCGGGCGCATCGTCGCGAGGGAGACGATCAAGGCCAACAGGAAGGACGTCACAGCTAAGTGCTATGGCGGTGAGCGCGGCTGGGCACACCAAACTGGGCACGCGTCGCGCGTCGCTGAAGGCGGCGGGGCACATTGCGGAAAGCCAGGGCCGGACCACGCACACCACCAAGGCCGGGAGGGGGGAAGGGTCGGGGCCGTGCTCGCGGAAGGCGGGCAGGCAGCTGGCTGGTGTCGGCTCGCGGCCTCATCCCCCTGTGATCTCGTGTTGTCAGAGGGTTGCGGGTGCTGCCAGCGCGGAGCGGCGCTGTTGGCGCCGTTATCAGGGTTTTAGCAGGACCTCGACTCCTGACTCACCGACTGCTGTAATGCTCGCGCATCTGCTTGGTAGCTCTCAACCTGCGGCCACTCATTGCCAAATGCCTCGTTGCCGCTGCGTCACGCCCTCCCCGTTCGCCGCCGCCGCCGCTGCTGCCGCAGGCGACGTGTCGCGCAAGCGCAAGCTGCTGGAGAAGCAGAAGGAGGGCAAGATGCGACTGAGGCGCCTGGGGGCGCTGCAGGTCCCGGCAGACGTGTTCCCCGAGCTCATGCGGTCCCTCTGACCGTGTCGCACGCACGCGCCCCGGGCCAGCGATTGCTGCCTCGCAATGCGATGTCTTCCTCATCGTTCGCGCCTGTTGATTGGCTGTGGCGCGCTGCTCCGCCCCGGGCATCTTGGGGTCTTGCCGATTCGACATGGGGGGGGGGGTCTGTTTTGTGACGTCGTTCTAGATTTGAGCAGGAGCGATGCCTTTGAACGGAGCAATCTTTTGATGGAGCCATCGGCTGGGCTTGATGGAATTCGTCCCAGTGCCTGAACTCATCCGAGCGCTTGCAGGGCATGATGTCGGCAAATGCACACATTGCTGCCGCCGCAGCTGTTGGCGCCAGCGCCGCAACCCGGCTCGCGGGCCGCTTCAATCATGCGCCTTCACAGCCGCCCCGAAACCCGAAGCCACGTGTAACCTTTTGTTACATGCAGCTACTGTCTCGACTGCCGCGATACAGGTTAGGTGGTCAGCTGCCCTGCCAAGCTGTAGCGCCGCACTTGAATGCATCCTATCGACTACTCCTGCGTGCCCCAACGCCGGAAAAAAAAAGCAAAATGGGAGGAAAACGGCCACCGAGGAAGGACGACCAGTAGTGTAAAACCATGCGACAGCGCAGCTCCGCGCACGGCGCGTGAGCCCTTTGGCAAAAGGGCGCGCCGCCCGTGCCGTGGCGGTGCGAGGACGCGCCTTGGTGCGCCAGGTCGGCGCAGCTCCACGGACAGGAGTGCGGCCAGCAAAGGCGCCACATCAGCGCAGCTCAACAGACACCTTGATGTTCATGGCGGCCAGCTCTGTGGCCAGGTATTTGAAAACGAAGGGCATCCCGATGCGTTCAATGTGGGCGCCGCTGCCGTCGCAGAGCTTGCAGACCACCCTGGCCGCGGAGGGGCCCTGCAGGCCGGCGACGAGGCCGGCAAAGGCGGGGCCGGTGACGGCCTGGGCCTTGGTGAGGGGCGACAGCAGGGAGCCACACCTTGGGGGGGGGGGGCGGTCGGGGGTTTAGGGGGGGAGATTCAGGGTTTTGCAGGGTGTGCATAGGTTTGGGGAATGCAGGGGATTTGATTATCGTTCTGGCGGCGGCAGCCGCCGCTCGTTCAGCGGGCGGCGAGGTGGTTGCGGGGGGAGGAGGGGTCGGGGCGGCAGGGCCAGGCGAAATGCCTCGCAGCGTGGCCGGAAGAGCTTCAAAGCCGCACCCCAGCCGGCACAACCATTAAGATGAAGCTGTGGGAAACGCCACTCTAGGAACGCCCAAACAATTTGTGTGCGTGAGCGCACACCCACACACCCCTGCACACCCCTACACCCCCCCAACACACACACATGCATGCATAACATGATATGGCCTATACGTGTACACAGGATGCACGCACACACGCACGTACGCACAACCCACGCACAGCCTGTGCCCCGATCCCCGGAGAGCACGCCCGCGCTCCGCCCCACACACAACCAACCAGCACCCACCGCGTGCAGACGTCCATTGTGTGGTAGTCGCTGCAGGCGTGCAGCCTGTCGTGCAGCAGGTAGGCCGCCCCGTGGGCCAGCAGGCTGTCGCGCTCCATCTCACCAAACCGGATGCCGCCCCCCAGCTTGCGGCCCTTGATGGGCTGCTTGGTCAGCTGGTTGACCGTGCCTGTTGACCGCACCTGGGGGTGATTGGGGATTAATGGTGGTCAATTTTGGTGATGTTCGAATTGATGCGGGGGCAGGAGACGTGGGGACGGAGAAAATGTGGACAAATCGGTTGAACGGCGTCGGTGCGCATTCTTGTTCAGGGGGGTAACGAGCAGTGCGCCCCGCGCCGAGGGAGGCGCGCAGCGGCACATGGACCCAGAGCGAAATCCGAAACTTGCAGCCAGACAGCCCTGCACTGACACCAATCGCCGGCATTGCGGAGCTGCCGCGGCTCCAGACTGACGGGCGCGCAGGAATGTGCAGCACTCAAGGGCATGCTGCTGCCGGCTGCACAAACAGAAAAGACCGCCCCTTCACACGTGTATAAAGTGTACAGTGTATGATGCATACAGTATGAATGCATATCTTGAAGGCACATACAACCCCCCCACCCACCTGGAACTTGTCTGACACCATGTGCCGCAGCCGCTGGTAGTAGACCACGCCCACGTAGATGTCACACGGCATCTCGCGCCCCGTCACGCCGCTGATCATCGTCTCCTGGCCGTACTTTGAGAACCCCGCCGCCTCCAGCTGGCGGCCGTAGACCTCCACCGGGTTGGAGGGCTTGCCGTCACACCTGGGATTTTTTGACGGGAGGGGGAAACCGAGAGTAAGGGAGGGCCAGGGTTTTTGGGTTTATAGGTTCAGGGGGAAACTGGAGGGGGCGGCTTGGGGGTTGGGAGATTGAGGGGTAAAGAGGGGACGGTAATCGGGAGTAGGGTGTGGCAGTTTGGTGGGGTGACTGGATTCAGGGACCATGCTGCGGGGGGAGGGAGGGCCCGTCGTCGGCAGCAGGCGGCCAGGACTGCAGGCGCGGGCTTGAAGCGCGGCCTCCCCGAAAGCCCTCTCGGGCCACTTATGCTGACTGAGTGTGCTACCATCAACCCAGACCACTGCAGGGGGCAGCTCATCCCAGGAACCCCTTCCCAGCTGCACACCACACATATCCCACCCATCCCACCCCCCATCACTCATCAACCCACATGCAGCACGTTCCCTGCACAGCTGCCCTTCCCTCAAAC